CAACCCATTTCCATCCAACCACAATCCCAAACTTTCCATCTTGGTTCTTCTTTACAAATCAAACCACCAAGCCATACCGGGTCTTTAATTTCGGTTTACCCATCGAGCCTTATTTCACCCATTGTCCCTTAAACTTAGTGTTCAACCCAAATTGATCCTAACCGAATAGTGACGTGGAGTTTGTTACAATCGGGTAGCGGGATTTTTGTGGATGCTTGGTGTAAGCGTGGAGCCAGAAAAAATGTGCAAGGGATGCTCGTGTGGTTCGTGAGGAAGGAGCGCATGTAGAAGCTGTTAGTGAAGAGGCCCAAAGCCCATGCATGCGAAGGAAAGAGGTGTAAAAGAGAAGGAACAGCTGATTTGAGGGGACCTTCTTCTGTAATCCCTCTTTTCTATTTTTCTTGAGTTTTATTTTTACGTTTCTGGTACTGTAATAAAGGCTATTTTGTTTGGATTGGAATATATGAGTGCAGTACCGAGGCTATTTTCTGTGAATAGTACTTGTGCTGTAGTTTAAGTTTTCTGAGGATTTATTTTCTTTTTAATTTTCATTTCATTTCTATTTTTGTAGCTCAATCCTTATGGGTATGAGCTAAATCCTTGAAGGTTGAGTTTAGGTTACCCAAACCTCAGTGCTGGTTGATTGCTAATTATTGTTGTTAACTTTTAATTCTCAGTTGTTTAATGTCATGCTTGTTATTTAACATTCTTTCATTGAGGCCTGATGTTAGATGTTGTATTAGGAAGAAGTCATCGAGAGGAGACTAATTCTGGAAAATGCATTAAGCACCTGGGCTTGAATGAGAGATCATTAAAGGGCTGTCACTTAGAGATAAGGGCAACCACCATGTAACTTTGGACTTGAAATACAAGAGTCATCACTTCATTTAGCACAGAGATGTGTAAATGAAGGTTTAGGATAAAATGATTTTAAGAGATTAAAATCAACAAGAGTGATCCGTTAACTGAGAATTTAAATTGAGCAATTTATAATTAGCATTTCTTTCAAGGCTGTAGGAAGGGTAAACCGAAAGCCCAACCTATTTTTCTAAAAGATTTTCACCAACCCATTCCTTTCTTCTCTGATTTGGAATTTACTCTACTTTTTGTTCTACATTTTTTATAAAAAGTTTTTTTCCATCAAACCTTAAACAAAACATTTCTTAAATTGATTTCCTATTATTTTTCATCCTTTAGTTCAAGCAATTAATTCAGAAAAGTCTAAAAAAAAATAATAACGCAATCATTGCTATTTTAGAGTAGTTTTGTCTTTATGTTATTTTTACTTTTACTTTTTTTAAAAAAAAAAATTCAGTTTCAAGCAATTGCACTTTGTTCTTTTGAACTTTTCGCCAAAAGATCCTTGTGGGAACAATAATTGGGACTTAAAGACCCTATGTTACTTGTGGCTGCATATACTTGCGCAATTCTTGTATAAACGTTAGCAAGGCTAACACGAGTTTTTACCATATGATAATTATCATGCAAAATTTACTGTGATAATTATTTTAAGATAAAAATTAAAGATTAATATATAAATATAAACAAAACATGCAGGATTACAAATCAACAATTAAATATATAATGAATAATATTTATGGAAAAAGTATGTGTCATTTTAAATGATGTAAAGTTGTGTCATTTTAAGAGAGAAAAAAACATAGAAAAAGGAGGAGAGAGAGTTGACAAAAAAATAAAGGTGTGGGTCCCACCTCTTTGTGAGAGTAAAATGATATAAGTTGTGTCATTTAAAAGGATAAACATTTTTCCCAATATTTATTGCATACTTAATATTATTTGCGTATATGTTATTGTACACATGTACAATAATTATAAATTGCAGCATTTATAAATGGGGGAGGATCCACTTACCACCAAAAAAGTTTACAACTCTTGCAACCAATTTAATCACCGTTGATTTCCGTCAATCTAACGGTTATAATTTATTGGAAATTAATAAATGTGACACAATAAATATTATTAATTTAAAACCGTTAGATTGACAAAAATCAACGGTGATTAAATTGGTTGTAAGAATTGTAAACTTTTTTGGTGGTAAGTGGATCTGTTCCCTTTATAAATTGTAGAATTATAAATTGCTAAAATATAATGTACGATATTGTTTGCTTGTGATGACTTCGTAAACTCCTAGTCATGTTGGCTCTTGTTTCATTAGGACCATAAGAAACAGCATGTGTTAAACAAACGGTCTCACCAATCTTGTGATGCTTTTGATTCCTAGGGGTTGTTGAAAGGAACTAAGGAAGCTACTGATCTTCTAGGTCCAGGTGGAAGAAAATAGTTGTGTGTCTAGTGTCCAACCAATGGACCTATATATTATTGGCAAAAGGATAGTCTCTTAGCACATAGATGTTGGCCTCCTCTTGGTTCCAGCATGTCGAGCAGTATTGGCAAGCAACAAAATTCATTTCAACTAGTAACCATGTTTCATGCCCATCATTCTCCTTTGTATTGGAAATTTGTTTCCACGCCATCAAATAATGATAGCTTAGGTGGCGCATGAGATCTGAGCAGAGTAATAATGAAAGTATGTGTTTAATCTTCTCCAGTACCATCTTTAATAGGGGTTTAAAACTTTAATCATGGATCCGTCCTGAAGTCCAGATTAGTCCATACGTAACATATGGGATTACCGGGGATAATCTCCATAAAAAATTTGTTTCCATGCCACAAAGTGGGCATGTTTTGTGTCGTTTGTGTCTCCCAAATGAAGACCCTTCGCAGTCTCATGATCTCATCACACACGGGTGATTGAGAGCTTGTAATTCTGCTTGTGAAAAAAGGGAATAAATGATACGACAGAATTGGAAAAAGTCACTTAACTTGCAAAAGAGAGACAATGTTCCTTCCAACCCTCTAGGCGCTCTTGAAAACTTTAATCATGGATCCGTCCTAAAGTCCAGATTAGTCCATACGTAACATATGGGATTACCGGGGATAATCTCCATAAAAAATTTGTTTCCATGCCACAAAGTGGGCATGTTTTGTGTCGTTTGTGTCTCCCAAATGAAGACCCATTGCAGTCTCATGATCTCATCACACAAGGGTGATTGAGAGCTTGTAATTCTGCTTGTGAAAAAAGGGAATAAATGATACGACAGAATTGGAAAAAGTCACTTTACTTGCGAAAGAGAGACAATGTTCCTTCCAACCCTCTAAGCGCTCTTGAACCTGATAAATAACCTTTGAGAAGTGAGCTTTAGATGTTTGACCATGTTTCATCAATGTGCCCAAGTATCTTCCCACATTCCTAGTGTTTTTAAAATCAACTTTTTTTGTGTTATCTCCATGATATTGTCCTCCTTAACGTTTCAAAAAATATATATGCTTCTTTTTTAATGTTAATTTCGAGGCCATACATAGCACTTAACTAGTTGAGGCAGTTCATCACAGTGGTTATTTGATCCATGCTGGCCTTAGGAAAGAGCAAGAGGTCATCAACATATAAGAAGTGAGAAACTGTCTAACTTTCTCACCCCACCTTCATGGAATCCATGGCTTGTTATTCAATGCATCTGCTATTATATGGGATGTCTTATCTATACAGGATTATACAGTCCTTGGCACACTCATCAGCTAGGAGTGATATCAGCAGCAAAGCTTCCATTCAAAAGGATCTCAAAGTTTGTTAAAGTGACACAACCCATGATGACGTTGATCATGGTTTCAGGAATTCAGATTTCTTCAAGGACTTTGTGTAGGGAATTTCAGTTCAGTCGGTTATAGGCCTTCTCAAAGTCTATTTTGAGTGTCATGCATTCCCTCTTCCTTTTCATTCCGTGCATATAATGTATTGTTCAATAATAATGTTGTCATGAATGTGTTGCCGGGAGGACAAAACTAACTTTGTAAGAGGAAATCAAGGTCTCCATTAGAGGTTTTTATTTGTTCCACAATCTCCTTATAAATTATAGAATAAATATCATTTTTTGTCCTCAACAAATTTCACGATATCTGCTTTAGTCCCTAATAAATAAAAAGCTATTCGTGGTCCCTAAAAAATTCAAAATGGATCCATTTAGTTGAAATCGTGGTCCCTCACACATTCAAAAAAAATCCACATTAGTCCCTTAAAAGGACTAAAATATGTCCACTTTGAATTTCTTAGGGACCACGAATAGCCTTTTTATTTGCTAGGGACTAAAGCGGGCATCGTGAAATTTGCTAGGAACCAAAAAGGATATTTAGTCTAAATTATATTACAAAATGTCCTGAGTGTGCTACCTTCTTAGGTTTATTAACTTTTGGGATGAGAAGTAAAATAGTGTTGTTGACATGCCTAATGAAGCTCTATGCCTTTTGCTGTATTCCACCGCATCTTTGCACATTTGTTCCCCTGTTCACCCCACATTTTTCAATTTCTGTTCCCCTCATTTATCCATTTGCACTAGATTGTTTGAAACCACACGCTTTCTTCTTGGTCCAAAGTTACGTTTAATTTCTGTTGCAGCTTGTCCTCAAGCTTCTCTAATAAGTGACGCCTTGGATTGGAAACCTACAGTGTCATTGTATCCCATCAATCGCTTTACTTTGCAGCCTATCTTGCCGAACACTGATGTGTTCCATTGTCTGAAAGGCGAGATGTTCCTGTTGGGTTTTATGTCCCTGACCGAATCCTTTCAAATATTATGTGTATTTTAGGATCTGTGTATCAAATGATAAGACTACTAAAATACAAAATAATATAAATATATAATGTATTAAGTAATATTACCATAGACAAAATATAACCTGTACTGTTGCTATCATTTTGTTGACACATCAGTCAACTTTTATTATCGAATTGAGACAATTTCCCCCTTCATCGTTTTTTGATTTGTTGGATTTTGCTGAAATATTCATGCAGACCAACAAAACAGGAGATATAATACCATGTTTCCTTCATGAAATCAAACGATTTTCTTGTGCTATTTTTTCTTTCCAGATCAACCCGTAAACCAATCACATCATAAATTGAATACCAGCAATATGAGCAATGTAAAAAAATTTCATAAATGTAAAACAAGCCTTATCAACTAGTTTTAAGAAATGTTTCTTCATCCACACCAATAATCTCAACTGTCAACTTAACTGGGAAATCATTGGCTTTGATAAATAGACAAAATTGATAATAAAAAATTCTGCTAATACATAAGGGCCATTTAATAGGCATCAAAGCACCAGAGAATCAGCTTCAATTAAGCAGAATTTCCAGACTAATTGTGCCAATTTTCTTGATCTACACCTTTGTCTTCTAAGATAGAATATTTGAGACAAGTCTCATGTTGCCAAGCCCGTTGTCTTACAAACGGGACACAGATTCTTATGCATTAGCCATTGTATAATACATTCGGTATGGTAATCATGCCCACAATCCAGCGATCCAATATCATCTCCGACGTTATATTCCTCCTGTACATAACATAATCCGTTTATTCATACTTTTTTAAATTAAAAAATGTTTGCATAATTCAATAATAATTAGATATACTTTTCTTTAAAACTGTTTTGCGTTTTTTTAACAAAAGCTAAAAATAATACCTTCGGGAAAAACATCTAAAAAATACGATATCATAAAAGTGTGCGCTCAAGAGCACCATGCACACTCAAAAATGGTTGCATGGGAAAAGAAAGTTTTAAATATAACCTCCCTCAATATATATATGTGTGTGTGAATTTGAAAGCTAAAACAAAGACCCTCTTAAGTGATAAGACCACATGCATGTATACGGCATAGGAATCAGCAAGTCAAGTTTACCTGACAAACACAGCAGGGTTCTGCCTCAAGCTGAGATCCTGTTTCAACTGAATACTTCTTCTGTTTCAAAAGTTTCAATATGGTTTCCTCACTCAATCCAGTACTCACATTTCCAATGCGCTCTTCCAGAGCCAATAACTCCTATTATATTCACAAGTACCACATAATAAGACTCTAAAATGAAGCAACTCAAAATATAAGCAATGGACAAAAGGACACTAAAGAGTAAACATACAGGCATCCAGATGTGGAAGTAAGTTCTCACCTCATAAGACATGTTATCAACATCAAGTCGCATATCCCTGTGTCGATCATGAATATCAGCAATTCCAGAGAACACTGATTGTTCAAGGATCATAACATCCTATCACAAAATCAAAGCACAGGTCTTACAACACAAGCTTAGTACAATGTATATAGATGTAATGTTTAGAGTAGCTTCTTTTTTAGCTAGTTATGAACACTGTCATAGATAGACTCAGATATATAGTCCCACATTGGTTGTATGTGCAACTAATGTGGAGTTTATAAGACCTTGGGCACTCCCACCCTTTGAGCTAGCTTTTGGGGTGATGTATCCCAAGGTTCTTTACATGGTATCAGAGCCTCGCCGCCCCCCACTTTCTCTTGTGGCGTTTCTTAGCACAGGTAGGCTGGGCCTGTTGCATTGTCCACTCTTCAAACCCAATGGACTCTCGTGTGAAGGAGCGTGTTGAGATATATAGTCCCACATTGGTTGTATGTGCAACTAATGTGGAGTTTATAAGACCTTGAGCACTCCCACCCTTTGAGCTAGCTTTTGGAGTGGTGTATCCCAAGATTCTTTACAATAACTTATACCTGGATTACATCCTGTTTGCATCTTAATAATAGTAACATTTAGACAACCTTTTATTCTTCTAGACAGGAAAGATATATGATAGGTGCCAGAGTCAAGTAAGAAAATGCTATAGAAACGAGAAATGTATTGATAAGATTGAATCCAAACAGATCCAATCAAGGAAATGCAGTGTATATGTGTTCAAGGAAAATTACAAGACTGAGAAGGAAAGCTACAGACAAATGAAAGATACAAGACTGAAAATTAATGAAGCAGATATCCAGAACAGTTTGAGAGATTATGGTTCTCTCCCAAATTAGCCCGAGTCCCAAATTCCCAAGATAACTCCCTACCTAGCTCCTTCTTCCCCCTATTTAACTACTCCAGCACCCTCTACGTTGATTCACATCCTTCCCTCCAAACCTCAAACTGATTTTCCCATAACAAATTAGGTAATATTCCTTGCTAACTGAGCATGTTTATGGGCAAGTGATCCCCTAAACCTCTTCCTACAATAAGCCTTCATTATTGGGTTTGTATTAATATATTACTATCTCACATATTATGGTAATGAAAGAATATTGTGTAGAACCATGCATCTTTTCACATTTTTCCTTAATTAATGCTTTGGCTTCTTATTAATTGTTCCTAGCTTCCAAATGTTTAACAGGTATGAACAGAAAATTCCTTTTGAGTATCCAAGTCTGAGCAGAATTACAAATAAATCAAAATCATTGGTAGCCCCGTGGGCCAACTTAACACTTTAACACATACAGCTAAACAACAGGACAGGTAAACATATCTTTTGCATCAGAACTGGATCACAATAGAACCTGTTTTAAGCCACTATGGCACTACTAATAAATCAGAAAGAAAAATGCCAAGAAAGCTTTACTCAACATCAGTGCATTGTTAACATACACCCATTAAATTGAAATAAAACTAACCTCAAATCGCAGGTTCCCACCCCTACGCATGAGGCCCAACACATTGCGGAGCTGCACAAAAAAAGAAAGTCAACTCCAAAAGAGCAATTATTTGTAAAATAAAATAAAATATTGACATAAGTTAAAAATAGAACTTAAAATATCTTCTTCTTTTTTCACCAGAGGGCCAACTCAAGCAATGCAATTGAACCTAGTGGGATGATTGAGCAACCACAGTAGTAAAGTCTAATCATATATGCTCCCAGACTTCTTATTTTTCTCACCAGAAATCATTACCAATTGTTCAAAACTATATCACATCCAGCCTGGAGTTTCCCTCAAATAAAATACTGCTGAAAACTTTGGAACAGAAAGAAAATAAAGCTCAGGCTAGGTTCATGAGAGATTACAAGTAGGGGATGAATTACAGAGATCATGAAATCCTAACTCACTGAAATCACATATGATGTGAGCCAAATGTGTGGGACTTAAAATTACAATTTTAAAATAACTCAATTTCCACCTAAACAGTCCCTCAATTCAAATATTTAAATTTCAAAGAAAAAGAGGCTGATCACCCAGATGCCTACATACATCTAACATACATATTAAAGAAACAATCTTTCCCAGTGGTTACAGCTAAGATAATATTAAAATGCAAAAGAAAATAGGGCTGAATACAGACCTCAGATACAAGTCTACCACTACTTCCTTCACCAGCAGCAGCCAAAGATCGTAATGAATAGGGAATTCCAAATTCACTATCACCTTGCCTCTCCATCCAAGAAGATGGTCCTGGGTGTACCCCAGATGACAGTCCCCTTAATTCAGATGAAGTAGAAGGACCACGCAAGGATGAATAATTATTGCTTGGACCTCCACCAGCTTCAGAACCAGGAGAAAACAAGGAACGACGAACAAATTCAGATAACCTGCGTGGATACTGCTGAGGATTAGGAGGAGGAGCCCACGTAGAGGCAGATGATGGATTAATAGCTGAATTTGACCCATTCCGCGATGAAGAAGCAACATTTCCTGGAATACTTAAATTAGCACTACTAAAAGCTCTAGTTGTTGGATTTCGAGCCAAATTTCTTAAATTGGTTGCCGGTACAAACACTGGGTGTTCTAAAATGTTTCTAGGCATAATTCTTGAGCTTGCTTCCTCATGTGGTAGATTATTACTATTTGCACATATAACTGAGTTCGATGAATGGTTGTTTGTTGAGCTAGAACCACCACTCCACCTGAATGATTGCATATTCCTTGATAAAGCAGGAACATGAATTAGAAGGGGCTGACTTTGAGAAATCATAGCATCTAATGGCGGTGCTGACCTCAAGTCCAAAGAATTATCAACAAGATGAGTCCTTTGCAATATTGGAGAGGATGAAGAAACACCAGAATTCCTAATCATACTCCCGCTTGAGTGCGCAGTGGGAGGAATTGGAATTTGTTGGCTTGAAGGATTTACCCTCAAACGAAAATTTCTCTGGAAATTTTCTGAGCTTCCTGTAACATTTGAGTCAGGAATGGTTTCGGAGGTTCCATCCCCCATACTCAGGCCAAGTCTTGCATTTAACTGTTCTGCTGAGGCAGATCTGTTAAAACTGTTTCCTGCATAATCCTGAGTTGGAAGACTGTTCCAAGCACTACCATCTGTACGCTGACTGTAACTAGAACTTGCGCCGTCTGAAGATTGTCCAACATTTCGTTCAACAGCCTTTCTTTTACAAGATAAACGGCGTGCGTCTAGAGAACAACCCGCCCTACCATCAGTATCCTCAACAAAAAAGCCATTACTCCCAGAAGGAAAAAGAAATGGACCAGAACCAATAGTAGGTGGAATATGCTCATTTACAGGTCCAATTGACTTGTGCAAGTTAGGATGTTCAACATTATGAGTATTATTACTGCCACTATCTGCTAAACCTGCATTTAAGTTGAGATTCTGTGCCACCAAATGAGAATTGGAACTGCACATATAAATAGGACTTGTATTGACGTTGTCCAGTGAAAAGGTATTGGTTGGTTCATTGCGCCTTTCTTCTAGTCTTGGACCAGCTATAGCACCAGTACTTATTGAGGATGATAATCCTAGCTCTGTTTTCTGTTCATTGTTGTTAACTTCATTCTGTGCGTTAACGGAACTTGGCTCACCTAAGCTCCATCCAGTCAAGTTCTGCCACTCATGGTTTATAGAATTCACGTAAGATGGGTTTATATCACCGGGGGAAAGTATATATTCAGATACTTGATTTTCTGCAGGATTCCGCATATTATTCCAGAAAATATGCTGATCAACGGTAGTATTACTTGATGTAGATCCACAATCAAATTCGAAGGTTTCAGGCAAGGAACCAATTGTACCTCTCTGCCCTTGCATTGAGTAAATCTATATGAATCGCAGGTCTGTTCAACAAAACATGAAAGTGATCATTAGGCATTGAAAATGGACATGCCTTGACAAATTCACTATCAATAAAATGCTATAAATCACATCAAGAAATGATAATTGTGAAAATTCAGTTTGGAATAATCATTTCAAAATGCATTATCTCACTCAAACTCTAATTTAAAATTGTCAAAGCAACAATTATTCTGATTTTTTGAATGGAATCAATTTCTCTGTAATGCGCGTATAATGCACAACATTTATTTTAACACAAAAAAAGGCTTATAGTCATCAATAAAATCAACGTAGAACCAAGCTTCCTAGGCACTAAACTTGGGATGGAGAATAGGAAAGCATTTTCAAACATCATAACCACCATCACCACTCAAACCCACTAAGACGGCAATGTCGATTTATTAATATAGCAGAAAATTGAGCACCCACAAGAGAAACAGTACCTCAAAGAATACAAATAAAGTCAACTCCTTTTTACACAGCTTAACAAAACAGAGAAAAAAAGAAAGAAACTTTTTGTCAAGATCATAAAACCATTGCAACACCAAATTGGGTTTAAAACCATTCAAAACCAGACTGGACTAAACAATCCATATCCCAACAAAAAACAGTATAGTCTATCAGAAAAAAGAGAAAGAGAAAATAAAAAAAAATGTTAAATGTCAGGTAGCTATACAAACAGCCCTAAATCATATAGAAAAAGTTGAATACTTCAATCAAACCCATATACACACATACATATAACCCATAAAAATTGAAACTTTATAGTTTTTTGAATCTTAACAAACCACAGACTGATCAGACCAAAGGAGAATGAACAAAAAAAAGAAAGAGAAGAAACTTACAGGATGAAAATGAAAAAAGGCCGATCTATCAGAAAATCAGAGGATGACTAACTGAGAGAATATGCAAACAAAGAAAGCACCATCACCCCATGTAGGTTGTGGATGCTTTTTATTGGATTTATGGTTCTGGGGAGGAAAAAACAAAGGAAAAAAATAACCAGCAGTGAAAAAAAAATTGAAAGGATGAAAGAAGGGAGGCTCTTGCTGTTGGTGTGGTGGTGGAGGAAGAATGCTATCAAAAAAAATTATAGAAAAAATAAAAAATGTGAGGGGAGATTAAAGAGGCATGTAATCTTCAATTTACACAAACAGCCCAATGGAGATGAGAGAGAGTGTGAACAAAAGTCATAACCATGGAGGAGGTGGAGACAGGAGCTTTTATTTACACACACAAAAAATATTTTATTGTTAATTTTAAAAATCTTATTGATATTGGTAATATTATTTACCAAGTAACTCGGGTATAAGATGCAGTTCATAGTAACTAAAATTTAGATTTATTATTATAATATTATATTTTTATGAATTTTTTCAACAAAATGATTTTATTAATATTCTAAACGTTTTTATATTTCTATGATTTTTTTATATTTCAATTTTATGTTTTATGATTTTTTATCTCCTTTTCAATTTCAAATAAAATCTTGATTTTAACTAGTTTTGCGCAGCTAACCAAATGGGTAATTTTTGTATTAGTTATTTTTTTCCTGATTTTTCTTTATTAAATTAAGTAATGTATATTAATTTTAATGTAATCATATCAAGTGAAAATTTTGATTGTTTATTCATATATAACGGTCCTGATTTTAATAATAAAATTCAAAAAATGAGGAAGTAAAAAAAATATTATTTAGATTACTAACTATTAATTTATATAATTTATAAATAAATAACTGAAATTTGCACGCATAGTGTCACTCAAAGCAGTAACTGTTTATATTTCATCTAATTTTATTTTATTTTTAATTTAATACACAACATGTATGATTATAGCGTGTTACTTGTTTTTGTTGAAGTAATATCATGTACAATTGTACATAAGACTTTTTCCCACTTCTCTCCCTTCCGGTTTTCATCTCATTCACGCCAAGCACCCACCTCTCTCGTTCTCTTTTACCATCCCATTCACGTTTCTATTCACATGTCTCTCCTCTGTGCGTGTATTTTTTTTTTTGGTTCTCTTTCTATTGTGACTTAGGATTCATTTGATTTGTAAAAAAATGATAATAATTATAGTGCACGTGGCTTTAGTTATAATATCTGGGGTCCACAACCGGATGACTTGCATTTTTCTCCCTTTATTTGTTGTGCCCAAAATCTTGGTGCTTGCTTATGTGAATTTTGACTAACTATTTATAGACCCCCTTTTTTTTTTTTTTTGGTCTTTCTCTCATACATGATAATGATATATACCCTCATTTTGGTTGGGTAAAGAAATAATGTGGCCTGAATAGTAAATAAAAAAGACCAAATGTGAAACATCCTAAGGTCCCTTAATTTTCTGCCGGTACAATTTTAGGTGGAACTTAGCAAAAGCGTTAATGCATGCCTGCCTAGTGTGGTTGTGTGGATTGTGATGATGGACATGTAGCTTTTGGGTGTTTGGGGATACAACCAATTTATCTATCAATTTTACTTTGCTTTAAAGAGGTGTGAAGACATGGACCTAAAAGCCCTCAGATACTTTTGCAATGGCAGGTTCCACCACCACCACAACCTCTTTTTTTCTGGTTAATTTGACTTAATTTAATTTTCTTATTTTTCCTAAAAAAAAAAGAGAGTTCATTTCTTGCTCATATTGTGGGTGTTTTATTTTATTGTTTATGAAACTTGGTCATCTTTGTGCTTCCTTTCTCTCCCCTTCTTCCTTCTCTAAGCTTTCTACACGGGGTTACTTTGCTTTCCATCTGTCTCCACTAATGAATTTTTTATTATATTATTTAGGCCATTGAATCAACTTCTTGTCTGTCCATTTGTTTCGCTTGGATTCACACCTTATGGCGTGATGACCCCTTTGAAAAAAAACAACAGAACCTTTAATTGCTTAGAATGTGGATCTCCCTAGCTAAGCGAATATCAAAAGTTTTCCATGATTCTGACATTTTTTTGGCACCTTGTGTTTTTATGATATCATACACGGACTGTAACTGACAAATAATAATATTTATACAAGTTTATATTAATTTACCAAAATCTCTTTACTTTTCTACCATAATTGTTTAAATAGTTTTGATTCTATACATATTTTACGAAATTGTTGTATATTTTTTCTTATGAATAATTAAATCTATAATGATTAAGGCAAATCAAGAATTAACCATATATCCTTTGAGATCATACAAAATTGTATATATTTCAGGTATTTGATACGCACGCATACACACATGCACATATATTATACATTTTTAAAAACACAAGTCTCCTCAATAAGTTTACCCAAAATTCAATTAATTTAGTAATATTAATCATAAATATTTTAAAAAAAAATCAATAGGATTTACTTCAAAATTAATTATTTTATCACAACTTTGGTAAAATTAATTGTAACGGTTAAATTTGATTCTAACTTTTTTTCTAAACACATTAAAGTTATAATTCCTCAATTTTCAAGATAACTTTTTACTTCCAAATTTTCTATATATATGCCGTGGAATCTATACTATATTATAATTCAGAGTTATTCTGAGAAAAAATTTGTCACATATAATTCATACAATGATTTGAATTATTTTAAAAAATGTAAAATTTTCATCTTAAACAAGTTTTTAAAAAAATTTAAATTATATGGGTCACACACAAATTAATAAAATTAATTTAAATTCTAATTTTGAATTTTAAATTTGAAATTTAAATTTAAATATATTCATAAAATTAGATTTGATAACAATAGAGAAAATTACGAAAATATATTAATTAGAGTGATTGGCTCAAATTAAAGAAATCAATTAACCATATATCCTTTGAAATAATTATATAGTTAAAATATTAGTTTTCGTTTTCAAATTTTATATTTTGCAACCAAATTAAAATAACAATATCTTATATGTATTAACTTATCAAATTGCAGTATAAATTTATAATGTACAATACATGTTTAAATGTCTTTCATATGCATTATTAGGGATATTCATCAACCGATCCAAATCAATTCAAACTGCGGTGATCGAACTAAAAAATCGATAACCGAATTAACAGAAAATCGAAAACCAAAAAAAAAACGTAAATTTTAATTGGATTAGATCGATTTTCGGTTTAATTAGTGAAAATCGATCCAATCCAAATCAATCCATTATATTAATCCCCTCTACCTACTTGGGCCTAATTTCCAATCACAGTCCAAAAAATTCTAAACCCAAGACTCATTAACCCATCAGCTAAACCCAAGAAAAATTATTGGTACATTCTAATAGGGGTGTTCGTGGTCTAGATTGGATCAGTTTTAAAAGCAAAAATCATCTGATCCAATCCCTTCGGTTTGATCATGTAATCATCCATTCAGTTTGAATTTTTTTCAAATCCGATCCAATCCAATCCAATTTTTTTGGGTTTGGATTGGATTAGTTTTTAGTTTCTTGAAAAGCCTAAAATTTATTTCATGATTATTGTGCAAATAACATATCTTTTGTATGTATTGACTTTCTAATTTATTTATTTTTTTGAAATACAAAAGCATCCGTAAACGATAATCTAATTTTTTTTTTTTTGGTAATGAGATATAAAGCTCTACACAGATGAAATTTTGCTGATGGGGTATGGCTAGATTTTTTCTTGGGTTTAATTGATGGGTTAATAGATCTTGAATTTAGAATTTTTTGGGCTATGATTGGGGAAAGGCCCAAGTAGGTAGAGGAAAATTAATATATATGATCAATTTGGATTGAATTGGTTTTTACCAAGCAAACCGAAAACCGATCCAATCTAATTAAAATTTACGATTTTTTTTCCGATTTTTTGGTTTTCGGTTATTGGTTTTCCAGTTCGGTCATCACAGTTTGAATCGGTTGATGAATACCCCTACATTCTAGCAAGTTTTCGTTACTACCGTCACTGTGATTTCAACCTTTAGATAGGATACTGCAAAAGTATGAATTTTTTGCTACATAAATATAGCATTTGAATTGAGTTAAGATTTGTTTTTATTTAGTTTTATAATTTTCATGTGAATGTAATACTACTATAAAACTTATGTGCCAAAATCTAAAATAATTTTTTTTAAGATCTCTCTGTATTAGTAATTGAGATTAATTTTTCCTTACTTTGTTATTGTCTAATTTTCCTTCTTATCCAACAGGTGATAGATACTTGAAACTGACTTTACCCAGTTTTAACTTTTTGTTGTATTATATTAAAAATTAGATTATCATTTACTGATACTTCAAGATTGCACAGTAATCATTATACAAACTTTATAAAGTCAATACCTACAAAAGATATGTTATTTACACAATAATCTTCATACAAATTTTAGGCTTTTCAAAAAACCGAAAACCGATTCAATCCAAACCTAATAAAATTGGATTGGATTGGATCAGATTTAATAAGAAATCCAAATCGAATGGATGATTACATGATCAAACCGAAGGGATTGGATCAGATAATTTTTGTTTCCAAAACCGATTCAATTTAGACTAGGGGTGTTTGCGATCTGGATTGGATCGATTTTGGAAGCAAAAATCATCTGATCCAATCCCTTTGGTTTGATTATATCATCATCCATTCGGTTTGGATTTTTTTCAAATCCGATCCGATCCAATCCAAATTTTTTTGGTTTGGATTGGATCGATTTTCGGTTTTTTAAAAATCCTAAAATTTATTTCATGATTATTGTGCAAATAGCATCTTTTGTATATATTGGCTTTGTAATTTTTATTTTTATTTTGAAATACAAAAGCATTAGTAAACTATAATATAATTTTTTTTTTGGTAATGAGATATGAAGCTCTACAAAGATAAAAAAAAAATTATGAGACGTGACTAGATTTTTTCTTGAGTTTAGTTGATGGGTTAATGAGTCTTAGGTTTAGAAATTTTTGGACTATGATTGGAAAAAAACCCAAGTAGGTAGAGGGGAATTAATATATTGGATCGGTTTGGATTGGATCGGTTTTCATCAACCATCCAAAAACCGATCTAATCCAATTAAAATTTGCGGGTTTTTTTTTGTTTTCAATTTTTCGATTTTCGGTTTTTCGGTTATCGGTTTTTCGGTTCGGTTATCGCGGTTTGAATCGGTTTGGATCAGTTGATGAACACCCCTAATTCAGACCGTGAACATCCCTATGCATTACTTTACAATTGCTCATATTTGTTGGATATCATTAATAGTATTAAAAGAAAA